TATGTAATTATGATAGACTTATCATGATATGTTTTTCATATGAAAGTAATTTATCCATATTAGTACGACAATAATTACATATGTTCACTATGACCAAAGACGAACACAAACATGTTCACTATTATAGTTTAACTATGTACTAATAAGAGTGAACATGTTTGTTTTTCATATGAAAGTAATTTATCCATATTAAAAGACAGTATTTAAAAGATAATAGTGAATAAGTTTTCTCTATGACCAAAGACGGTATCATTTTTCAAAAAAGATGTTTATTTTGCATATTATATTATATGTTGATAAAATTATAATGTGATCTGAATTTAACTATTTTTAAAATGAAATAATAAAAATAAATGAACAATAACCTTATCTCACATATTCATTTTGGTAATTAGTATATAGTATATATCTAATTTTCAAAAATTAGTTTGATAAATTTGTGTTTTATTTGTTTTGGTTTGAATTTATATATTTAATTCTTAATATAATGTTAGAAAAATTGTATTATTATTTCTTGGAAAGTTTAAATTAAACAAAAAATAAAAATTTGTAAAAAGTATAATTTTGGAGGATTTTAATAAGTTTTCAAATCTTTTTGAAAATAGTAAACCATATCATATGAACAGTCAAAATATAGAGTTTTACATGTGTCATTATTTAATCATTTATATCTCTTTAAAGCATTACTGTTATTAGTTGTTGATAAAAAGTTGACTTACAAGTTTTTTTATTTTATTATTATTTTTTTTTAATTTAGCTAGCACCGTAATCTACAATAGTGACTATAAATCCATAAGATCGCAAACGAATAGAAATTAATCGGGTCAAACACCCGATCCAAACTGACCTATTTTATATTAGATCATCAAATTACAAATTGCAAAATCCTGGTGCTTTAGTTATTTTTTAAAAGGATTAATATATAGAATTATTTAATGTTTTAAAACACTCACTAAGTACATAGTTAAACTACTTAAATTATCATGAAAAAGGCTATATATCTTCAGCAAAATCATGAAACAAGAGCTACAAACACATCAAAAAGAATAAAGACAATTAAGATGTAAGAAATGTCATGGCAAATGGATCCTAGCCATAATAATAAACATCCCATATAATTCAGCTTCACTCAACTATGAAGTTCTTGTAACCAAACTCAATACATGTATCTAATAAAATTTGAAATGCACTAACAAAACAAAATTCGAAAACTCATTCTGGCAATGGATCAAACAAAATCATAAGTTAGGCTTGATTCTTGGTCTTTCTAGAAGCTAGCTGAGTCTCAGGCTGCAAGATCCATAAATATATCAAAATTGGTAAAACATAATTAGACACAATACAATTTCTACTTGATGCCATCAATAACTGACCTCTTTCTTCACAGGTTCTTCCTTTTCTGATAAGGTCAGCTCAATGTGACATGGGGAAGACATGTAAGCTGAAAAAGCATCAGAATTTAATTGTGGATACTCTTATATATGTAAATAAAAACTTATGCAGCATATGAAAACATATTTTATATATTAACATACTAATAATAATAATAACTTTTTGATATATTCAATCGGTGCCACTAATGTGATTATGTGTCTAATTAATTTACAACTAGTATTACGGGTTCAAGAAGGCTTCTGATGATGCATGTTCTAAGAAAATACAAAAAGAAGAAAACTCACGATTGATTCTTCCATGAGCACGGTATGTGCGACGCCTCTGTTTCTGAGCTTGATTCACCTGAATGTGGGAAATATGAAGAGCATCTACATCCAACCCTTTGACCTAAAACAACATTGAAACCCAAAAAGTCAAAAAATTTATCTAAAACGGATTTGAAGAAAGTATAAAATAAGTTTAAGTACTTACTTCTGCATTACTCTCAGCATTCTTTAGCAAATCCAGAATGAACTTTGCAGACTTAGCAGGCCAACGTCCTTGTCCATTGGAATGACGATTCTTTGCCTGTGCAGTTCTCCCAACTCCACGACAAAAACGTGTGAATGGAATGGCTTGTTTATGAACCAAAACATCCTCCAAGTATCTTTTAGCCTTGATTAAAGGCAACTTGCGAATAGCATGTGCAGTTTCTCTTGTGTTCTACGAAGGATGAATGCAATAGCAAGTGTTAGAAAACAACGGAAACTTTTGGTGGTGATAAATAAGCCAAGTACAATATAAATAGATTAGCTAAGAACAGACTAATATATATGTTGAAACTGATTAATAAGAGGAACAATTAGAATCCACGACAACGAAGCATTGACAACAAAATTCCGTAAATAAGAAAGAGCTAGCACATAGGCATACCTTGAAATGACACCTGAGATCCGATCCTCTGGCTTTGCAAGCTGACAAATGTTCAACGAAATAACACAAAAACTAAACTTACATTCATCGAAAGCAGCAAATTCAACAAAAAAATGGTATAAATGCTGAAGGAGAATCGAACTTACATTTGGTAGGGTTATCTGGCTCCTTGGAATACTTCACCTGACATCATTAACAGCAAAAACAAGACAACAAATCAATTGGACAATCACTTAAACATATAAGATAGATGTGATGTAAACGGTGGATGAATACCGACCATGGCTGCTGCTTGTTTTGCCGGTGCGACTGCTGCAGGATTGAGAGTGAGTTTGCAGAGGCCACAGCAGCTAATGGTCTAACGGAGAATCTAGGGTTTGTGTTTTTGTTACCAACACAGGGGCCGGGGGTTTACTTGCTATGGATTCGGATCGGGGCTATGTACTGTGGCCCAATATGTGATTATCTCTTTCCAGGCCTCGACGGATAAGGTCGTTTGGGCTTGGTTTTTAAACTCTAAAATTAATTTTTGACTTATAAGGTGTAAAAGGAGTTTTTTTAAAAATGTTTGGATTAATTTTTGTTGTGGAAAAGATTAATAACTATTTAAGTTAAAAAAGTGTTTGGTTAATATATATATATATATATATATATATATATATATATGGAAAATTGAATATACCCTTAAGGGTATATAAGCTTAAGTACCCAATGAGTCAAAACTACATAGTTTTGTTAAATTGTTTAATTTTCACAAAAAAAAAAAAAAAATCCTTTTTCCATACGTGTTTCCTTATTGACTGCCTAAACTCAATTCCTCGTTTTTTTTTTCATTGATCGTCATATCATCGGTGGTTCCATAATCGAAGAAAAAAAAATTTATAATACAATCACAAAACCGATTGCAAAGAAATCAGAATATCAGTATACAGAAATCGTAATTCGCAGGAAAAACAAACAAGTTTCAATTGTCAAACAAAAAACGATTGGAAAGGGAAAAAATCGCAGAAAACCTTATTCCCAGAAAAAACGATCACGTCTGGCAAATATCAGTATACAGAAATCGCAATTCGCATCCCCTGTTTTCTATTTTTGAATTTCAGTGCACTTCCAAGTAAGTAATTATCTCGTGTTCTATTGTTTCTGTGAGCAGAGGATTGCACCGTGTTGTGGATTTGGATAATCATTTATTGAAAAGTCTTTAATCCCTTTGTTAATTAGATACATGGTGTAGGAAAAAATGTTGCACTTGCATTAATGTTCTACTCAAGTCAATTTAATCTTACCTACCCGGGGTCAATATAATATCTGAGAACTTGTCCTGAAGTTGTATTCTTAAGAAGGAATTTTTATTTAAAGGAAATGTTGATTTTGACTTTAAAAGTAAAAACTAAAAACACCAATAGGTTTTTTTTAATATGTATGCATGTCAGTTGTTTTATGCCCATGCAATGGGAAATATCTATAAAATAAGCTTGCCATGTTGGGTCAAGTTCTTATTGTCTTTTATTTGTGGTTTTGTGTAGGCCATAGTGTTTGAAATCGAAGCAGTTGATCATGCTATAGAACCGTATATAAATGAAAATGTTGACACAAATGATTTTGTGGAAGAAACATATGAATCTGAAGAACTTAATGATTTCGGTGTGAACAACGAATTTGACGAAGATGATGTTAATGATGAAAGGATACTGGGAAAGGTTTTTGATACACCCGATGATGCCTATACATTTTATAATGATTATTCATTTTTGCATGGCTTTGGTATACGTAGAGATGACACGATTAAAAATCCTAAAACAAATGAGCCTTTTCGGAAGATATATGTATGCAACAAAGAAGGTTTCAAATGGATGGACAAAAATGCTTCAAGTGAAAATGAGAAAAAACGTCGTAGAGATGTTAGAACCGGATGTCAAGCAAAGCTTCGAATAACAATACAGGAGGATGGGAAATGGTTGGTGGACTCGTTTAATGACACTCACAATCACGACTTGACCATGACACATACGAAGGTGATGAAGCATCGATCTCATAGCAATTTCCACCGTTCAGTAGAAGGTAAATCTCTTATGGTGCAATTTGGGCAAGTAGGGTTGAAACCTTCTCAGATTAAAAAGGTCGTTAATACAATGAAAAGCTCAAATGTAGCTGATGTAACTTCAAAGCAATGTGCTGATGTCTTATCTGAGCATCGAAAACAACATAGATGAAAGGAGTTCTATGGACTTATAAAACATTTTCAAGATAAAACATTAGTTGACAGTGACCAGTATTTTGTCGTGGATTTGTCTGATGATGGGTATCCTAGAAATATCTTATGAGGGTATTTTGTGAAAATAACGAATGTACGATGGTATTTTGTGTAAAAATGAAATTATGAGGGTATTTTGTGAAAAAAAAATGCAAGTACGATGGTATTTTGTGAAAAAACGAAATTATGAGGGTGATTTGTGAAAATAACGAATGTATGATGGTATTTTGTGAAAAAAACAAAATTATGAGGGTATTTTGTGAAAATAACGAATGTACGATGATATTTTGTGAAAAAACAAAATTATGAGGGTATTTTGTGAAAAAACAAATTATGAGGGTATTTTGTGAAAATAATGAATGTATGATGGTATTTTGTGAAAAAACGAAACTATGAGGGTATTTTGTGTAAAAAACGGAAGTATGATGCTATTTTGTGAAAAAACGAAACTATGAGGGTATTTTGTAAAAAAAACGGAAGTATGTTGTCATTTTGGGTTCAAAACAAAACTTTTCTGCAATTTTGGGTGAAAATGAAATTAAAGCTGTCATTTTGGCTTCAAAACGAAACTTTTCTGCAATTCTATAATAAAAATGAAAGTAGGTTGTCATTTTGGTTAATGTTGTGTTAATCGACACATAAGTTTGATGGTTTTTAAAATTGTTGGACGATTTTGCCCCTGTCCCAAAGACAGTAATCCTCAAGATCTTAAGGATAGGGAAGTTCAAGTCGCATAAACAATACGACCAAAAGCGAAGAATCTCAATTGCTAATTTTGATTAAAAATGATAAGTATAAGTACATTTCTCATTTTGGAAAAGAAAAGGTAAGTACACTGTTATACAACAACCACATATACAATTCTAGAGTTTGTTTTTGTTAAGATCCTTTGATCCCAAATCTTTTGGGCCGTTATGTCATTATGTCCATCATTATGCAAAAATGATTTCCAGATCATGGAACCTGCAACAAGGGTATTTCAGTCATTAGTTAGTAAGGTTATGTAGAGGTGTAGATGACTAGGAGGGTATTTCGGTAACCTGCAACTAGACTTCTTTTTTGTGTTGGAAGTGTCCACAACATCATTGTTGGATGGAAGAGCCATGACAGATGCACTTACCCTACAACAAAAAATAATATATATCATAAATCAAAAACCATAACCTTATTAACAAGTAAAAAATCTTTCATTTTGATCGTCTCATTCATACAGTTTATTAGGTCCATAAAAGCAAATAAACCTTATGTATACAAAACATTACACACATCATTACCATTTTCAGTTTCTTAAAAAAAATTGGAACGAATTTTTTCAACGGGTTTATAAGGGCAATTTGGTCTATCAATAAAAAACGAATACGGAAATTCCGTTCTCAATAACTGTCAGAATTAAAAATTAGAAAACAAGTAAAAGTATTAAGGAAGCTTCCATGAGACAATAATATCTAAAGTTATGACAAGGAATCCTACTTTTGTCTCTTCCGATTCTTTGGCAATTGATGCCCTTCAGAAAATGGTTCAAGGTTAGTTTTTATTTTTATTTTTTTATTTTTTATTATATAGATTTTCATTTATTTCATCATCATCCTTGAAGTGATGTACCCCATATCCAAGAACCCCGATTTTATCTACAAATTGCAAGTGTTATGCTTCTATTAAGTGTAAATATGCAAGCATAAGTTTCATATCTTAAAGTAACTTCAACCCATTTATGTATGTGGATCAATTTAGGATATATTTTATTCATAACGCGAAAATTAAAGAAAATTTAGCTAAAACATAAATGAGTTAAACAGGTTAGAAGTTTCCCACAATTATTTAAACCGCTTCAGTCAGTTTTGTTAACTGATATATTTTTTATTCATCTAATATGAAAACAGGAAAATTTAGGCATCTACCAGTTGTTGAAAATGGTGAAGTTATTGCATTACTGGATATCACAAAATGCCTATATGATGCTATATCTAGAATGGAAAAAGTTGTTGAACAGGGGAATGTTATTGCTGCAACTGTTGAAGGAGTGGAACGCCAATGGGGAAATAATTTCACTGGTCATTACTTAAATCCATGTTCAATATTGTCAATAAATGTTTGTATAAGTTTTTAAGTTCCTAATGATATCATGATTACCTATTATAAATGTTTGAATAACCATCTTTTATAGATAAACATCAAACTGATAATAAAAGACAGATATAGGAAAGAACTATGTTGGAGAATCCGTATAACCATCTTTTATACATGTTTTTATGGTATCAATCAATCAATCAGCCAAATTACTAACAAATCCCAGGAAGAATCAAGGATGTAATATAACACTTAATCTTGGAGGTTAATTCACTGATTTGTTGTGTTTATCAATTTCATACAGAGAAGAAATTGGTTGGATACCTTTGGACTGCCTAAATTTGGTTTGATACGTGTTTCCTTATTGACTGCCTAAACTCAATTCCTCGTTTTTTTTTCACTGATCGTCATATCATCGTTGGCTCCATAATCGAAGAAAAAAAAATTATCATACAATCACAAAACCGATTGCAAAGAAATCAGAATTCAAAGAAACTATATTTCACAGGAAAAACAAACAAGTTTCAATTGTCAAACAAAAAACGATTGGAAAGGGAAAAAAATCGCAGAAAACCTTATCCCCAGAAAAAACGATCACAACTTCTTCAATTTGGTTTGATTTGTGTCTGCGTCCATGATTGTGGTTTAGATGACCGAATTTGAAGCAATTCCCTTTTTCTCCATTTCTAATTGGATGATTAGGGCTTTTTTTTCTTCACCTCCAAGCATCACATACCTGAAAGAACATAAATTTATACAAGAAAAATAGGATCTTAGTTGAAGTAGAGAAGAAACGATGTTAGTTCATACGTTCGATGATATCAGACATCTTCAATCTTCATTGCCGATTTCTTGTTGATTTTGATGTTTCCCACACCGATTTCAGGGAAAGGCTTAGAGAAACGAATATACGATTCAATGATATCGATGATATCAGACATCTTCAATCTTCACTTCCGATTTGTTGTTGATTTCAATTTTTCCCACTGATCGATTTCAAGGAAATGGTTAGAGAGACGAATATACGATTCAACGATATCAGACAATTTTGGGGGAATTGTTTTTTGTTTTTTTATTTTCAGAAAATTAAACAAT